AATGGAGCCGCGAACATTACTAGCCTGGGCCGATAATGAAGATTCTCCCATACATTACCAACCGAGGGCCTCGCATATTCCTGCATTGCCCTCGCCCGCAACCTGCCCCACCCCGCACCCCCCTCAGATCCCGATGTCCAGAACCGGCCTTGTTTATCTACTCACGAGTCTTAAGAAAAAAAATAAGTTTCTCACAATTCCGCTGGATGGCGCTATATGCTGTAAAAATGTGGCGCCCTCGACTGTACCGACAGCAGGCCTATCGACCCCTTTACCGACGGAACCTCGACAGCGCCGCAGGCGCAAGCAGGAACTTATCCCTCGCGACGACAACGACTGAGTTGTCGCTAACAGAAGACTATATATATATATATATATTCTCGCGGCGACATGCCACAGCTCTAGCAACCCTTTCGTATTTTTATAACTTCAATAAATATTAGTGTGTGTTAGGAAGTAATTAATGGTTATTCTTTGACCCCTGGTTGGCGCCCCGTCAACGTGATCCCTTAACACCACAAAAAATGTAAAAAACCTCGTTAGGTAATTTACCAAGTTCTTTACATGTAAAAAAAGATGTAATTTACTTGAGGTAATTCAGTTCCCAACCCTGCTACTTATCCATGCAGCTAATCCCATATCGCTAACAAGGCAAATTTCCATGTGGACCACCATATATGATGTTTCGTACGAAGATAAGTTCGGTAATATAATATAGTGTAATAATGAGGTGTAAATAATAGAATGTGATAATAGTGTAAATATACTAGTATAATCTTGAGTACGTACTCCACATGGCGATTTGCGTCAACAGTCATAACTAAAAACCAAATATACGTGATTGAATATTAGACTATTTTCTATTATTCGAAAAAATAATAGTATATTATGCCACACTGCAGTTTGAGATGATATTTTTGACGAGGGGGTTATGTTATGTTATATGACATGAACTTTTCTTTGTCACACCTGTCACGACTTTGTTGCGCAAGTTTTCAATAAATGAAAGTAGATGAAATTCTGTAAGTATTGAGATCTGTCACTTGGAATCAAACGGTAACAGTTGGAGATGGCCGTTGGATGGAACTTGTGTCGAAATGGATTAATGAAAAAAGGCGAGAAAAATTCAAGTAATGCAGGAGATTTACAGCACGAATCGTCCTTAAATTTTTTTTATTGACACCTTATAAAATTTGATACGATATTTGGTGGAGGAATTATTGCCGATATCTTCTAATTTTTTTTCAAAATGACGTGTAAAAATATACAGTTGTTACGTTTTACTAATATTCAATATTTCACGAAAGTTGATCATCGTAGAACATTGACCCGGCAGTTTTAATCTCGTGAAGAAGTCCGGCGGAGCATTAATGAATTCGCCCGGATAAAGCCATCATCTTTGTTCCGAGCTGCAATCCTAAAGTAGCTTGATAAATAAAAAAGAGGGGCCGAAAAATGACAGCGATTATCTTCAACGTTGCATCTGTTATCCGTCCGTCACAGATAAAAGTCAAAATGCTCGGAAACCAACCGAGATTTTAATCAAATACCTACTATATTTAGTCATGCCAAGACAATTCCTGTCCACAACAGCTCGTTTCTCCTTCAAAATCTGAGGTTCCCTCGTGCATTCTAACTGACCGTGAAAGGCAGGATTACACACGTATCAACAACGGTCCGTCCGTAGTCAATTCTGATGCTATCGTTGTCTCAACTTGATATCCCTCTTCCGTTGTTTTTACTTCACCATTGCCCGCATAGGTTGGGCGTTGATTGTCCTCTTCAATGGCTAACCCGTTAACTCTCCCTTATAATTTTCTTCTCATAGCGCGATCGATGGTGTGTCTAGAGAAGAGGAAAGCTGTCCCGTTTTTTGCCCCCCTGAGACGGCACATCTAACGATACGCGAACCTAGATAGCCTTTACAGTCGCAGTTTTCAAGCCCGCTGAAATAGTGTAAAATGGAAACAGGTTCGGGATTTTCCCAACACCGTGTGACTCCAAAGTAATTATCAATCGACGATTTAAGGAGTGATCGGTATTTTAAATTATCGAAATAGCCTATTGAAGGGCCGTCGATTATCGCCCAAACTGACTATTCACTGAGAAAATCCTCGGAGAGGGCCTGCAAGAGGCATTGAGAGAGAGAGATAGAGAGAGATCAGAATCGCGCGCGAGAGACACAACGCCATGCTCAACGTGCACTAAGGCGGGTTGCCTTAGTATACGTTTTTAACGGTTTTAATTTCCCAGCGCTGTACCGGGTCAATCGATCGAGCCCGAATAAACTCCACCACCGAGGGGGATAACTCGCGTACATCCTCCCGAAATTGGGGATTTTCGCCGCGTACGGGGACCGAGATATCTTCGGTTTTCGGGACAGGAATTTTCCAACGCCGTGGGGTCGGAGTTCGCGCTCAACAGTGAGCGGAGCGGAGTAGGAGAAAGACCCGAGGCCTCACCGATACGTCCGTCACTCAAGGCCACTCGACACTAATCCTCGCAACCGACGAGGGTTTTCGGCGGTTTCCCTCGGGATTTTTACGCGTCTTGCCCACGCGATGACGCCGAAAACTCCACGGGGACGGCCCAGGGGAAGAACAAACCCTCCAAACGCGATCGGCTGTGGTTTCTGAGTAAACCTGTCACGAAACATTTTCTAATCGACCGAAGATGCCCATCGCCTTCGCCCTTCCTTCCTCTGGCCTCCTCGCCGATACTGAACTTAACTAAAACCCCAAAAAAAAGGTTGCCGGGCGCCAGCTAATTTTCCTGATCGAGAAATCAGCAACTCGAAAACTTAAACCTAGATTAAAACCGCAAAACGTATCACCAACCCGTACTTAGATCTAATTCACCAAGGGGGTTGAAGGACGGATGCCTGCGTTGGTCAGTGTGCTACGTTGTGGAGAGAGGGGTGGATTCGGGAAAAAGGGCGAAAATGTTCAAATAAATAATTCCTCAAAAATTTCACTAACGTCCTCAAAATCAGCTATTTGTATTTCGTTAAACTCGAACACTGGTGTCGGAAAAGTCCCAGTTGACCGAGGTCAACGGTATCTATTCTAATCGCCACGGCGGTGATAATTCCCAGGGAAAAGAAAATACAGAAACTCCATGTGAGTCCGCGAGGCACCAGAGAGTGCTCGGGATTTTCCGGAAGATCCAAGACCCTATATGAATAATTTATTATAAATTTTCCCCCATAGAAAATCTTCCCATAATTCCACAAGGCCTGAAGAGAGGCTCGGGATTTTCCCAAAAAGTTAGGGCCCCATAAAAAGGCTAATCATAAATTTTAACCATGGAAGAATTAAGCATTCGAACTCCACATAATTCCGCGAGCCCTCGAGAGAGGCCCGGGATTTATCTCAGCAAAAAAAAGTAATTGATGGTTGAGGATGAATTCTAATATCACTGAGAAAATCCTCGGCGAGCCTAGAAGAGGCGTTACGTGAGAGCGAGAGAGATGGAGAGTAGTGTGCGAAAGAGATCGCACTACGCCCAATGTACACGGCACGCGTTATCCAAATTTTCCAATCGTTTTTATTTCCCGACGCCTCAATGCCTCAACCAATTGGCACCGGATAAACTCCACCACCAAGGGGAATAATTCACGAGTATTCTCCCAAAATTGAAGATTTCCACCGTTCAAGGGGACCGAGATATCTCCGTTTTAGGAAACGGGATTTTCGCACCACCGTTGGGCTGGAATTCTTGCTCAACGTTGAGCGGAGCGGAGTGGGGGAAAAACACTCGAAGCCGCGACGGCATGGACACCCCTCAAGGTTAACCGGGTAAATTCCTCACGTTCCACGGGCGTTTTCGACGGTTTCCCCCGAGATTTTCACGCCTTTCCTTCGCGATGTCGCCTCAAAACCTCCACAGGGACGGCCCTGTGGGATAAATCCTCCACCCGCGATCAGCCGTGGTTTTCCGATAAACTATGGCCGAGAAATACCCGCGAACACCTCAACGGAGGGAAAACACTGTTCGATCCGTTGATCGAACAGGACCAATTTACACTCGCGAACCGAAATAATTATGCGTTCTCCAGTAACCGTGTTACTGGGATAGATTTATAAAATTTTTCCTCACCTTCCCACGAGATTTTCGGGCCGGATGGGATCCTCCCATTGTTTTCTCCTTGCTTTGACTTCTCTGGGGAAAAACGTCCTGTGGCTCGTACGTCCTGGCGATAACTGCCAAAAAGATGGCGGAACTCGTGCCTCGCCGGAACGTTAGTTTCGGCGGATTGAACGCGACGGCGCTACTTGTCCTGATGCGCGAATTTCTTCCCATTCAAATTTGAATGGGGAAACTAAATTTTGATAATTCACCCTAATAACCCTAATTATCGTGGCAGTTTCTCCCGGTTGTTTTTCCCGGGGATCCGTGGACGTACTAACCTAAACTAACTTAACTCAGATGGCAATTCGGGGAGGTGTCGGTCGTAACACCCCCACCGACCTTCCAACACTAACCTGTAAAATAAAATTCCTCACGGATCCCTCTTTTAGGGGTGCTGGCACTCGCAGCCAGACGGTTCGTCCCGGGAAGATTTCACGAACGGAATAACCCTCAAATCTACGACGGACGATAATTTTCTATTATCCCTCTTCGCGACGCGATTAAGGGCCGACACGATTTCCCCTTTAATTAACTATTCCCATAATCCCCATCTATCACTAAACTCCCTTAATGAGTCTCTAATCTCCTGCTGATTCAGCAGGGAATAACCCTTTCGATTTTTCCCACCCAAAATTCCCCTATGATTCCCTAATCTCATTCCGGAATTAGCAGGGAAAACTCCAAAACCCTAAACCGCCTTAGCGTATCTTCCAGTTCTACCGGGATAATCGTGGAACCCTAATTTCATGTTATTTTAATAATTATTCAATTTTTAATTTTTCTCCACGGTCAGTGGGATTCGCGGGTTGGGCGCGGCTCTCTTTCTCTCGAGAAAAAAAGATGCACGTCACAGGCCTTTCCTTTGACCGATGGTATCCGTCCTCGCCTCCTCGGTCCTCCTCGCTGGTAGTCCAAGTCCTGGATCCAGTGGCTGGGCGTGCTGGTCTCCGGTGGCTATAACTCCAAGAAAAGGTTTTGGGTAGCTCGAACCCACTTTAATTATTAATTTTTTTCTTTTCTCTTTCTCCATAATTTGTGGGAACATTAGTTGGGCACGGTTCCCTTCGTTGGGTACGTCACACGGTAAAAGTTCTGGCAATCCATGCAAAAAAGAGAGTTAGTTCCGTTCTCATGGTCTTCCAACTGTACTTAACTGAGGATCTTCAATTTTCGCCCAACTAAGGAAGCGCAGACATTCCATCCCGACCTATGGGTTTCCTTCTCGGACGAACCAAGAAGGGATTCGCAGGGACCATCCCACAGCACGATATTCTGACTAATGACACGTAGAGAACTCTCAACTGATAACAAAAAACGGCATTTTATGGGATTTGCTACTTTGACGAATTTCCACCGGCAAGATACTACATTTAGCAATATTTTGATAACCATCGGGCCTTATCGTCTAGATAATGGCCGCGCTTTAAATCACTCTACTCTTATTTTGAGGTATAGGCTGCGCCACGAATCTCCATAAAGTGATGGATGGCCTGCTCGTAGGGGTCTGAGCCTGGCATAGCAGGTTGCCTTATCCGCGAGAAGTTATTCAAGTAGCGTTTCCTTGGAGGATTTATTGGATAGGTTTCCTCAGGGGATTAATCAAGTAGGTTTTTAAGGGAGACAGTCAAGATAGCAGAGTTGTAATGGGTTAAAAGCATCTCGGGATCTTTTTGTGCAGGTAGCAACCTGTTTTCGCGTGTTATTTCACGCGGTTAGGAGTAGGTAATTTAGTTACCTTAGTAACTAAATAGGTAGTTTAATTAGCTTCGGGGATGACCAGTGACAAATTTTCCGGAAACTTGGTCACGGTTTTAAACAAAAAAAAATTACACTCAAGATGTTAAGCGATAGTCGAATATTCGAGTTTTCTCCTTTGAAACACAGGTTAAGAGAAACAGATCAAGGGAAAAAAACTGTAAAAAATTCTTACGTAAACATGCCTTTGTAACCAGTTTATGATGTCATTTCACTTGAACGTTAATCCTTTCCTACAACTTTTATATACGTATAGTTCATTTGTACTGGAATTCGAAAGAAATTCAAAGTTCATAATAATTGCTTATTTTCAACAGGTTCAATTTACCAGCGATCCACGACAGAGAGACCAGTGGCTTGGGAAGCTACAGCAGTCCGAGTTGTGAAGCAATTAGCATTGATTCTTTCGATACGTGTCGTAGTGAGTTCGATTCCGACGAAGATAATGATGATAATAATGATGGTCCTTCAAATAATGGCAACAAACCGTTCAAAGGACAAAGCGAAGTAACCGAGAGACAATTTTTTACACAAGTGTTCCAATCACAAAGAACAGCTGATGATCTCCTTCAGTATGATTTTTATTTTAAGGAGTTCAAAAATTGTCCCATTCAAACGGAATGTACAGATAAATACATTTTCCATGACGAAATCGATACTCTGAAACCGGGACTAGAAGCAGATAAACCCTCTCAAAGCGCATTTAGACCATCTCGAACGACAACAAACTTCAATATAATGGACATTAGTCCTGGTACCGATTCCAGGACTGCCTATTGCATTATATCCAGCAAAGTCAAGAGTGTAATTCCTTTAGTAAAAGTGGCATATCCTGATCTCATCAATGGTGAATGTAGTGGTATAACTGAATCCTTAAATATCAAAGACCAGAAAGTTTGTCGTGCGAAACTGCTATTAAACATTGAACGTCGTTTATACGCGAGCTCCTTTTACCCAGAGATATTATTTGACTTAGATGCATTAGTGAAAATATCTCAGTCTGATGAAATAGCAAAACAAAATTTGAATAATAATGACGAAAGCAGAATCGGACAACCAAATATGGAAACAAAGAGTCTGCAATTTGAGTCCCGCTTTGAAAGTGGTAATTTAAGACGAGCCGTGCGAATCGGGATGAGGGAATATGATCTAATTCTGTCACCAGACGTCAACAGTAGATCCGGTCACCAGTGGTTCTATTTTGAAGTATCAAACATGGATGCTAATACTTCTTACACCTTCAATATTTTAAACTGTGAAAAAACGAATTCACAATTCAATTTCGGCATGAAACCAATTATGTTCAGTGTTATCGAGGCAACATTGGGAAGACCGGGATGGTTTCGAACTGGTACTGATATATGCTACTATAGAAATGCATATAAGAGACCAAACAGTGAAAAAAATTACCTGACCACTTCGTTCACTATCGACTTTCCTCATTCTTACGATGTGTGTTATGTCGCCTATCATTTTCCGTTCACATATAGTACTCTAATAAGACACATCTGGCTCTGGTTACAAGAATTTTCGGATGGATTGATTTACTTCAATGTAGATGGTTTATGTGATACAGTCAACCACAATGAGTGCCCTGTACTCACCATAACGTCCCCAAGTTCATCGAGAAATCCAATTCACGTAAGTTTTGTCGTTATTCAAGATCATTTTACTCTTTATAGAACTTCCCCAATGCACACATGTGAAGCCGGACTATATGGAATTCCTATAAACTATTATTGTAATGAAATTATTTGCAGCATTTTCATATTGAAATTCTTGATACAGAACTGCATTTGCTTGTTAAAAAATTCCATAAATTAATGAAAATATTTCCGAATTGGATAATTCCGGTTCACAATTTGACGACAATTTGAGGTATGACGATAATCTCGTTATTGAGACATGAGTTTCTAATAGTTCATAGATGACCATAAATCACTAATGCCCATATCGACTGTAACCCGAATTATCAAACCGGAGGTAGTCAGCCTCCGCTGCCTGTAACTCGAGAAAATTCATAAATTATCTTCCTACTCCAAAATACGCCAAAAAGCAAATGGGAAATCTACGAAAACTATAACTTTCGGAGAAAGGTGACGGTCCTGGTTCACTCAGTATGCTATTTTATGCAGAGAGCGGTAGATCTTGGATGAAAACGAGGTATTTGGGCTCATAAATACTTGAGCCGAATAACTGAGAAAAGCAAATGAAAAATGAAACCTCAAAAAAGATATTATATAAACCACTATTTATTCGAGATCCTCAAATTAAGACAAGGAAAAATAAATCATTCACAGAGGTTCGGTCCTGTACTCTCAAAATAAAAAAAACGCTGAATTGTTATTTTAATAAAAGTTAACTATAACCAAATTGGAATTACGCGTACTGGCCCCCAATTATTACGACGGAAATTTGGCTAAAAAGATAATTGATTGGTAATAATCCGAGGAATACCCTATCTTATTGTCACTTTGTATCAATTTGAGAGAGAAGGCAATTTCCAAATGGCTCCAAATAACTTGGACTACTTAAGACCCAAGAAATTGAGTATAAGATACTCTCACTAAAACGGAGCAGAGCCACGGCTCCGATAAAAAATATCTTTTTGAATTACGGCGGCTACCTAACACATTTTCCTCATAACATTGACATTTTCGGTGATTGCAATGTGTGTTTGATCGCCGCCTGTCATCCGGGGGATTTCCGACTTTTGAAATGTTCAACTTCTTTTTTCTCTTTTCTCATGATACGCATAGGCGTATAGGAATCATTCCGTCGGTTACTACTTGTAAAACCGGTCGTGTGATATCGAACTTAGTGTGGCCGAAAACCATTGAAGCCCACTGTTTCACCAACTAATCGTGAATCTAGAGAAAGATCACATCACCTCTAGATAAAATTGTAATCGGAAAGATTGGGAAAGGCATTGTAAGTAATTTTAACCCTTCAGGTACAAGGTCGATCTAATCGATCGAGCCACCATTGTGTCCCTCGTGCCGGGGTCGATCCATTAGATTGACCTTGTTCGGTAACAGTAAAAAATTATTTTCGCGAAAACTAGTTTACATATCGGCATTTGGAAAAATCTTACGATATGCCAATAAAATTGTGTGTATTTTTGCCGAAGATTTTTTTAAATTGTTTTTTTACATTTGTTAATCACAAACAAAGTTGTTACTTGAAATTGCATTTCACATTTATTCTGGCGTCTCGTTTATCGAGGAAATATTCCCAGAAAATTTTGAAATTTTTACGAAAAATACTCTATTGGACGGTATAAATATAATTGTTATTGCTTGAATAGTGTATTTGTTATAAATAAATTTACCGTCATAGACTATCTCATCTACCAATTTTCCGCCAACATTCCAATGGGTTCCATAAATTATAAAAAAATATGATTGACACAATGCAGGCATTTGTTAATAAAATATGACTATGACGTTAGTTAAATAACCGATAATGAAAAACAACGGTGAAACTCCGCCTCTGTGGTAGAGAGAGGGCCGCTGTGCGCGCGTGCGTTCCATCGGTGTGCCACATGGCACAGTGCCGTATCTAACCTAACCGATGTCGATGGGTACCTATCGGTTTGTTTAATTTGTGCTGTGAGTATCATTTCATACGTTATGGCGAGAAAAATTAAAAATTATGTGGAAATCCAAAAACTTTTGGACACTTCAGATTCAGATGATTGCGGTGAAAGCGGTGATAGCAGTAGCGATGATCCAGTTTCTGACGAGGTAATTGAGAAGTAGTTAGCCATGGGTCTCTGTAGTTTAATAAATGAGGTATTATTGCACGACAAATGTGTCAATCCTCGACGAAATTAACTAAAAATATTTTTAATTTCAGAAAAAATTTAAAATTTTCAGGCTCGGCAATCATACTTGGATCAATCGATCTCGATTTAATCAAAAATAACAAAACGAAGGAAAAATTGTCAGAAAATTTTGGTTTTTTCCCCGTAAAATTCTTCAACTTTCCAATGTTGAATTTTCAGGCTCCCTCCCCTTTTTCATTGCCCTACCCCAATCATTCGGAAATCAATTGTTCGTCAGGGCTTTTTTAAACGTAGAATTAATTAAATTCAACCCCCAAAAAATTCAAAATACAATTGATACTCAATCAAATGTTTCTCAACGCAAAAAAAAAGTTTCAGTACATAATCATTTTATATTTGTTTGTTGTGTTTTTGGTTGATTCATAGCTATGCACATCCATTATTCAATTTTGCACGAGTTTTCCTAGGAGCATGAGAATGAAATCCCTGCACTTTTGCAAGATCGGACATTGACCAACGAGCAGAAATTTTGTTGGGAGTCTATGGACAATTGGCAAGACCAAAAAGAAAAATTCAAAAGCAATTCAGGACTTCATGGGGAGGCAAAGACCATCAGATCTACAGCCGAGTCTTTCGAGCTTTTTTCCTCGCGTGATTTGATTACAGCTATTGTTAATGAGACCAATGGGTACGCACAACGATGGCTGTCAAAAAAAAATTTGGGTATTTCAAATCGCACGGCAAACCTTGGGTACCTGTAACAGAGACTGAATTTTATGTGGTGTTGACTGTCTTAATGCTGATGGGAATAATTGGGAAGCCCTCAATAAATATGTATTTCTCGACGAAGAGAATTATTTCCACTCCAGACTTCAACGACAGTGTCAACAGATACAGATTTGAGCAGATCTGTAAGCTTCTACATTTCCCTGATGATGACGCACTGTCAACTTACACAGGTCCAACAAGATTATTCGAAATCCATCCCATTATCAACCATTTGGAGAAGAAATTTACAGCGCTGCACATGCCACAGGAAAATGTTTCGATTGATGAATCATTGACATTATGGAAGGGACGTCTCGCTTTCAAACAATATTTACCCCTGATGTCTACTAAGTTTGGTATCAAGGTGTATGAGCTGTGTGATTCAGTGACTCGGTATTTATGGATGTTTGTTGTATATCTTGGTAAAGAGACAGAAATTGAATCGGAGCTTGCGACAAAAGAGACACCGAAAACGTTCGCCATCGTTTTTAGATTGATTCAACCATTACTAGGCCAAGGTTACCGGTTATGGATGGATAATTATTATAATTCTCCTGCTCTTCCTTTTTATTTGAAATATAATAAAACTGATTGTATCGGTACACTTCGAGTCAATCGCAAATCTGTTCCAGCGGTAGTGAGAGAAAAAAAGTTGAAGAAAAATGAGATAATTGCTCATCATGATGGTCCAGTTACGGTTATGAAATGGTTTGACAAGAAAAATGTGACAATGATTTCCACCTGTCACGATCACTGAATGGAAACCATTCTTGATCGGAGGGGTAATGAAAAATTAAAGCCTAAATGTGTCTTGGAGTACAACAAATTCATGGGGGGAGTCGATTTACACGATCAGCTGATGCAGCCTTTCTTCATTGAACGTAAGAGATGTACCAAATGGTACATCTCTTACGTTCAATAGATTTATGAAGAGATCCATGCTTTTCATTCAATATTCATTGTCCAATAATGCTATTCGACCAATTTCTTTCGTTTATTTTTGCGCGCGTCTAATAATTGTTTGCCAATACCAGTCGTTTATAATGCTAGTCCACAATTGTGATTTAAATGATTTATTTACGTAATATACAATTATAATAAAAATATAATTAGTTAATTTAGCGACAGTGGCGAATTTCATCGTAAATATGAGATTAATTTTAATAAAGAATGTTTATGAATGTGATCCGTACGCGTAGTGGTACGGTCCTGATGCACGCCTCTAGCCCTGACATCAAGCGTGTAGGTTACGCCTCGATAACCACAATAATTAAATAAAAATATTTTGCAAAGATGGTCCATTGAATGAGATTAATTTTTTGTATTCCATGATTCCTCTTTTTTTCAATATTGTTGAGACATTAATAATCAATTTTGACACAGCCGTTTTTCAAATACATATATTTTTTTTCATGACTCGTCATTAATTAACTATGGCACATATCGATTTGGGAATTACTTGAATCATTTAAGAATTAATCAAAGTATTTACCGATTTTTTTTTGTATTTTTTAAACCTATTTGAATCATTTTTTCAATAAGTTAAAGTGCGGGGGATTTGAGAAAATAGTCGCAAAAGCGATCTTTCTAAGAAAAAATCGATGTAAGTTAAGAAAAGAGTGTCCGAAAAAAGAAAAAGTTTCATCGAGTTTAGGAGGAAAATTGAGGCAACCACTCCATTTTATTTCGAAATTTTTCACTCAACCGTTTACAAGATATGGGTTAATGAAAAATGGAATTAGAACGCCGTGAGGCTCCCGGCCGCCCGGAAAGTTTCCGTAGGATGGACCCTGTACCTGAAGGGTTAAGTTAATAAAAATCATCTCATCCCTATAGCAATTACTTGAATTATATCGGATCATAATAAAAGATCACCCTGCCAGTCGAGTAACCTTACAAATCACGATTAGGATTTGCGATTCATCCTGTAGCTTTTTTCGAAATTAATCAAAATACAGAAATCCAATAACTTAGATTTGGTTTAGGAACTCTAATCTGAACCCCCTATACCAAAAATTTAACTTTTATTTCCAGGGAGAAATATAATTACTATCGGAATTAACAACGAAGAACTGGGACAAACTAA